GAGAGAGAGAGAGAGAGAGAGAGAGAGAGAGAGAGAGAGAGAGAGAGCAAAGCGGTTGACGGGACTACAAAAAGAGAACAGGAAAAAAATGGTCACATTTCTCAGGCACCTGAAAACGTGCTGGTTATTTTAGGACTCGTGTTGCTTATTGATGAGTGGGGGAGTGTTTAAACTACTTCCACTCCGGTCATGTTTTGATTGTGACTGTACATGGCAAGCAGCTGAAAGCGTCAGGACCTCTGTAATTTAGAGAAGCCCTTCACAGTGGTATCTCACCACAACCTGGCAGCATAGGTGTGCAGACGGAGAAGCCGAGCTGTCCTTTGCTGTCTCTTCACCTCGGGACATTATTTTGGAGCAGTTCTGCTCTAATTTCCCTTTTTGAATATTTATTTCTCTTGTTCTTCGCTGACCGGGTTTTTTCTGAACAACCCCTTCGCCCCGCGCACACTGCTGTTGGTCTGAGTTTTTTGGATACACTCTGGCAGTCCTTTGACTCTTTCGCCTATAATATCAACGAACCTCATCCTTAGCGACCACAGGCAGCCGGTCCAGCACCAGACGCCCACAATTAAGCAGCACGGAACCACTGAGCGACATCCACCTACTCAGAAACATGGAGCACAGTCCTGGTGGTAAGTACGCTTTATAATGTAAATGTGTGTATTTTGACTGAATCAAATAGAAACATTTTTTTTTTCCTCCATGTGCCAAACAGCAGTCATAGAAAAAATAGGAAATGGTGCAATTGGATCAGATGCCAATGCACTTCTACATCAAATATTATTCTTGTGTAGTACATGCATTGGTTCATTCTAAGGATGATTTATCAGCACCATCTAGTTATGTATCGATAGATTCATAGCGTAGCAATGCGATTGTGTCCGTTGTGTTTTATCCTGTTCCACTGCCTGTCTTTTAATAAAACACGGTCTAATGCATTTAATTATTTTATGCACTTGTGTAATTTCTAATTTATGCAGAGCTGAAGCTGCGGTGTACACAATGTACAGCTGTTAATAAACCCGCTGTTACAGTCAGTGATTGTATATATTTCGGGGTGAATGGGTGTTTTTTTTTTTTTTTTACGGTAATTCAGCGGTGTAACATATGGCGCGTTGCCAAGTGCTTCTGGGCTGCAGACGGTTGAGAGTTTGGAGTGAGTGAGAAGCGCACGGAGAGGGAAGTCCTCTCTCGCCAATCTCTGCGGCGGACTTCCGATTCTCTGCATGTAAACAAACTCACGTGAGGCGCGACCCAAAACGCCCCCCCCCCCCCCCCCCCCCCCCCCCCCCCCCCCCC